GGTTATTAAGTAGCACTAAATAATTGCTCAGTCAATGTTCGTATACATGTGGTAAGAATAACCATAATTACAATGTTATAAGGCGTGGAGTTGAAGTGGATAAATTACAAAAATATTAAAGATTGTTTTATAAGCTAATTAATATCAAAAATGTCAAGTGTTGTCTAAAAATTTAAAAAAATTAGGAGTACGATTACGATTAGAATGAAGATGTGAAGTGAAGTGGAAAGAGTTCAAGTGGTGAAATAAGATAAAATAAAACCTAGAAAGAACATTCTGTCTGTCTGGATTCAACATAGAACTTGGCACCGAAGAGTAGCAGTTCGAGTTGCCACGTTCCAAATAGCACACAAAGGTAGACAAGAAGATGAGTGAAGGGAATCAATAGAGTTTGACAGGTATAAGAGCGAAACAGAATGGGTAATGGTAAAAAGAAATATGAAAGATTACAGAGACTGAATATATCTGCGCTGGCCATTGACAACGATTTTGAGCCATGTCACCTATTGTCTCCAGCCATTGATTCCTAGAGTCCTGAGGGCCCCAACCCGGAAGTCTGCATCTCCCTACCTGACTCAGTTTAACTGTCAAGGATTTATTTCATGGATTGATGGCATGTTTTTGTTTGGCCACCACTTACCCTTTTCCAACCTGCACCTATGTCAGCTAGTAATGCCCGTCGGGGGAGGCGATGGTTAGACATGCACACCACGTGACCTAGCCATCTCAATCTATGTAACTTTATAGCCTCGTCAATTGATTTTCCCTCTTTGCCCAATACTCTACGCCTAACGTCAACATTACTTACCTTATTATACCACCTAACGTGAGAAAGAGATCGTAGACATCTATGATCAAAAACAGTAAACCATTTCATGTCTTCAACTCGTATTGGCCATGTTTCAGAGCCATAGAGAAGGACGGAGCGAACTGATGAGCAGTTCACACGCCCCTTGGTTGATAGCCAGATATCACGCCTACGCCAGAGATGGTGTAAGTTGGCAAAAACAGCTCGAGCTTTTTGGATCCGTGCTGAGATTTCGTTACCAATCAGTCCGTTGGTGCTAATACAACTTCCCAAATAGGTGAAGTGGTCAACATGTTCTATCACTTCACTCCCTATCACTAAGCTAGGAGTTGACATAGTCCAGTCCTGTAGCAGCATCTTACATTTTGCAGGGGCAAATCGCATGCCAAACATACGAAGATTGCTGCTCAAGGTGTTCAGAAGACTCTGCTGGATTTTGTCAGCATCCTCCCCTAACAGGACTATGTCATCTGCATATTCTAAGTCCATAAGATTATTCCCTGGTAACAAGTCGATTCCTAAGTCATTACGTTCACTTAAGGATACTTCCATTAGCATATCTATGATGAAGTTAAACAGAAATGGGGAAAGTGGACATCCCTGTCGGACACCACTGGTTGTTACCAATTCAGATGACAATTCCCCATAAGCCCTTACACGACTACGTGAGTTTGAATAGAGTGCCTTGATTAGTGCAATGTACTTTCTTGGCACTCGCTTCATAGTTAAACATTGCCATAGTACCTTTCGATCCACGGAGTCGAAGGCTGCCTTCAAGTCAAGAAATATGGCAATTGTTGGACGCCGAAAAGTGTGTCTATGTTCTAGAATCTGTCGAAGAGTGAAGATATGATCTATGCACCCTCTACCTGGTCTAAAGCCTGCTTGATTTTCCCTCGTTTGTTCCTCCCGAGTTCTCCTTAGTCTGTGCATGATTACTGAGCCTAGGATTTTAGAGAGTATGTTCGTTAGGCTGATCCCCCTATGATTATCGCATGAGGACTTGTTTCCCTTCTTGAATATCGGTATAATAAGTGACTTACCCCAGTCTGATGGCACTGTCTCTGATTCCCAGACTTTGCCTAGTACCTCAGTTAATCTACAAACTAGTATGTCACCCCCATATTTAAACACCTCCGGAATAATTCCGTCGGGTCCTGCCGCTTTGCCTCGTTTCAAATTACTGATAGCTTTTGTGACCTCACTTACAGACGGCGGACCAGTGTCTATATCCCATTCGGGTGTGTTCTGGATGTCGGGGAGGTTCAGTGTGGCTGTAGGCAAGTTAAATTGTCCCTCAAAGTGTTCTTTCCAGCGTTCAAGGCGTCTATCCGGAGAGCTAAGTATGGTGCCATTTTTCTCAGAAATAGTCTCACTTATGATTTGCCTTCTCCCACCCGTTTCCCTGATGAGTCTAAAGAGTTACTTAGTGTTGCCTATCCTCGAAGGTTTCTTCATCTCTTTCGCTTTTGTCACCCACCACTGTTCACGATCCTTGCTTAGACTTTTCGTGAGTTTCCTTTTGTGCAGTTTTCGCTCCTCATTGAAATCGGAGCTCGCCGGAATAAGTCTTCTAGCGTCTATCAGTTCGGATGAGGCGGTGGAGATCCAATGGTTTTTACTCACCTTTGGGTTTACCTTATTCACAGCTTTTACAGCTGTATCTATGGCCGACTGAATATTCTTCCAGGTTTCTTCAGGGTGAGCACAGCTGTCGAACTCAGATATGTGTTTAGCTAGTTCTTCCTCAAATAGAGATTTAGTTTCCTGATGGAGCTTGCGACGTGATGGGTTTACCGCCAGCTGTTTCCTACGTCCGTTCAGTCGTAAGCACACCCGGGTGCAGACCAGTGCGTGATCGGTATTTACACACGTGTTCCAGAAGGAGCGACATTCTCCTACAGACCCACGCCAACGATAGCTTATTGCTATGTGGTCTATTTGTGTCCAGCGTTGGTTTGGTGATGGGGGTCGCCAGGTCAAACAGTTTCTCTCCTTGTGTTATGATTATCTGGACAGAACTGTAGGAGACGGTCACCGTTGTCGGTCCGTTGGGACGGAACTCCATAGGTGCCACCGACATCCTCCTCAGATTGACACAATTTCCCTACTTGAGCATTAAAGTCACCAGCTAGAACGACTATATCTGAGCGTTTAGCCTTTCTCACCAAACTAGACAGCTTTTGGTAGAACTCATCCTTTTTTTCATTCGAACTGCAGTCAGTGGGGGCGTAGGCGGAGATTACGAAAAGGCATCGGCGAGTAGTGCATTCCTTTCTTCTTTTTTACTGACCCGTTCAGGCGGACAGAACACATTCGGCTATCTACCTGGATCCAGTCAAGTAATGTCTTTTCTGCCCTAGTACTTAAAGCTATCTCTACGCCAGCTAATCCTCGTGAACTGGCTGTGGCATCTCCTGACACCTTCAAGGTGAATTTTGAAGATTCATTCTGTTGGCCAGGTGGGGTTAGGTGAATAACCGCACTTGGGTCTTGTAAGCGTGTTTCTGAAACACAACATACATCAATGGCTCGGGATGCCAGGGTCTTAGCTAGTGATGCTTAATGTCCTATTTGGCAAAGTGTTCTTACATTGAATGCTCCTATATGAAAGAACATTACTATGACCAAGGTAAAGAAAGGGGTTTGACAAAACGGTTTTGAACACAATTTAGGTTTATGTTCATGTATAGCTAAAACTTCGGCTATGCATATGATTATGAGCAATAAATTGTGCTCGAAACGTCATCAGTAAACATTAATGTATAGCACTGTGAGACTTTATCAAAACAAAAATTTAGCCATAATGGAAGAAAACGTAAACTTTTGGATCGATTCGATTTTCCCATGCAGATAACTTTGAAATGACCACACTCTAACAGGTGATTACAAATAGATGACTTCGCAGTTCTTCGTTCGCCTTTCATTAACCAAACCGGATAGTGTTCAGCTACAAGTTTTCGGAGATTACGCTTACAACGGCCAATATAATCAGCTCCACAAGAGCAGGTAAAAGAGTAAATGCACACAGACGTGGACAAAAGCGGTAATCTATCCTTGACGCATTGTCTAATCATATTTCGGCTGGGAAAAGCTAGATGCAAGTCAGCTGCACTAATGACCAGTCATATTTGAATAGGTCAAGTAGTCCAACGTAGACAAAGCAAGGTGTCAAGTCTATTGTTTTGACTGTACACAGAGTTTAGGAAGTATGGGACTAAGTCCAAAGTACTCTTCCATTCCCTTAATAAATAACCTTGAATTAAAGTCATGTGATGAATCATTGTGAAGCAGTCATTAGTATTGATTTTGTGACCTCACATGAATAAGTGCATTGCAATGGATGATAATGGATTTCTATTCAAATTAATAATTGCATTGGGATTTTTCAGGTATCTTAATAACCATTTTGTTGATGAACATGTCAAGTGGGCAGTTTTCTCTAATTCATTTAATTCAGTTTCAGATTTTCCCGTCGATTAATTGGACCGAAGTGCTCGGTCTCAGGTTGACGCTTTGACGTTCGAAACTATTTGTACCAGGTTTGGAGCCTCGGTGGGAACACCATCAATGACTCACTGAGGAATGCAGGTACATCCAGCTAGTTGACGAGATTCCACTGCTAGTCACCATCCACCAATTAATTTTATCTAATTATCGGCATAAATATATTGGCTGACAGAAGGCCCGAGAGGACGCTTAGTGCTATGACGATATGTTTTGCCGTTAAACTGAAACTGCACGTTTATCGTACAGCGTGTGGTAGTAGTAGTCGTCGTAATACTACACAAACAGTCACCTGGGTAACTCCTACTTCACCAGATATATAAATGTATACCATGTTGTAAATACTTATATAGTGTAGCGTGAACACCAAGTCTTCAACAGACTAAGAATTATTGATTTGACATTGGTGTTAAAATCCGGATCTTGTTATTGTAACTAAACGCTGTGGATCTCTTCAAAGTGTTTTCAAAGTGATGTGAATATACCGGTTGGCTAATTTGAATAAAACATCGACTAACTAACTGACACTTCGTTATCAATGGATGCTGCTACTTAACTTCAGAGAAAAGTATCTTTAAATCAGATATAGACAGACAACTCGGTTAACTAAAAATGAATTATTATTACAAGGTAAAAGACACGACGGCACACGGACAAACGAACACAAAAAGAAACCAACACCTACCCAATGCTCTGAAAATGCATGCTGTGTTAAGGCCCAACGAGTACACAGCACTGTGGGACAAATAGGACATGTAAAGGTTAAGCTTCCTTTAGTTGCTTCTAAAAGGTGGGCATCAAATTGTGGAGAAACACCAAATCGTAGCTACATTAAATTTTTTATGATGAAACAGAGTAGAAGAGAAAAAAAGAGAAAAGATTAAGTGGATTTACAGGGAATCACTGAAATCGTCTAAGTGCTACACATTAACTTGCAAACAGAACAAATGGAGTACTTAGGTCACGAGCTGACACATCAGTCAGAGAACTATTAGAAAACCATAGAGTATTGGGGACAGCTGTTTCATCCTAGCGTCACCTCCAACCTCATTTCTTGGTGTACCCCGCTGGTCACGATTCCCCATATATCACGAACTAGCAGAAATTGGAATTCATAGACCGTCGAATTAGGGTCCCATCAGTGGCTGAATGAACTACAAGATCGCCATGTAAGCAGGAACTCCTGGGTACTAACCCCGGTGGGTGGGTGCTGATCAAGAGTCACACACTAGGATCAAAACCCGCTGTTCACCTCAGAGTAAGTAAGTCAGAATGTAAAATTAATGGAGTAGACGTTTTATAACCTCCTAATTAACCAGAGTCGAGTGGCAACATAACCCAACTGAGAGAGGCATCTTCCTGCTGTTACGATCCACTATTCGCCAGCCAGAACAAAATTCACTTCAACACCCTCTCAAACACTGCATAAGACACCTTCACAATGATGGCAACTACTCTAAGTTTGACCGTGCTGCTATGCAAACAATCTTTATTACACGTTAAGATGCATGCAAGAACGCTCCTTCCAACCAAACCAACACAGTTCGTTGAGTCATTTCGATATGCGGAAGACCGTCGATACCGCCATGTCTGAGGAAACAACATGATCAGATAACATAATTCACAAGACACTATTTATAAATAAAACACCTAATGAAATCCTTAAGGATAAAGAAAAATAATGAAGGTTCGTTGCGTAAAGCCAAAGTGTAATCTTTGTCATAGGGGACTTCAAGCTAGAGACTTGAAGTTTCTGTAGCAGTGGTGTTTGCTAACCAGCCTTATACCCAACTTTCCCTCTTTAACAATCTCAATACTGGCTTAGCGAGGCAAAGGAGTGCGTAGGCCGGGGATCGCACCCTGAACCCCACTCGTGGTTGGCAAGCGTTCTACCACTGTACAACCGACAACCAAAGATGAAATGTCGTTGTCGTCGCTCATACACATAAATTAGTCAGAATGGTTAGAAGACATTTTAAGCCCACTATGCAAAACTCGAATTATGTAAGTTTGCTTTGGATAAAGGCTACATTTCAAATTGTTGACTGTCTTGTAGATGCGAACATAGAAGATTTGAAGGTGGTGTATTCCTTTAATGTTAATTCCTTGTTTACTAATGTACCGCTGATTAAGACCGTTGATGTTATTTGTGATTACATATCTTCTAGTTGTTTTCCGTTCCATTTTCCTTTCAAATTTATCTGAAAGATTTATTACTATTATTTACTGACAACGTCCATTTCACGTTTAAAGTGCCTTTCTATAAGGCACTTCCACACGAGGAGTTTTGCTGCTGAATATGAATACAATTTTTAGACAAGACAATGGTATCTATTTCAATTTAGACTTCTCCGTCGATTGATTGGGCAGAAGCGCTCGGTCTCAAGTTGATATGTCAGCTGCTTGTGCAGATGCTTCGACGAGGCCGGGTCAAGTAACTTGCAGTCCATTGGTGATTAGCAGTGGAATCTACCAGGATGCGCATTTCGTCCTATTTGAGACTCGTCTGCCAGTTGGATGTACCTGCATTCTCCTGTGAGTCAGTGATGGTGTTTCCACCGAGGCTTGAACCCAGTGTCTATAGAGTCAAACACCGAATGTGCATCCTGGATTCCACTGCTAGTCACCACCATCAACCTACCAACCAATTGACTTCAAGACAATGGTACAATACTAGAGTTGACGAACGATATATTCAGGACATTATTTGCAGGATAATACGACCTCGTTTCATTCATATTCCGTGGATTTTCCTGCAACTATATACACATCATCCTAAACAATATTATCGAAATATAAGTTACACAAAATGATGTGAACATACATTTCTTACAATGACATCGAAATATGGATAGGAAATACAGGCAATAAAATCGAAATAATGATGTAATTTGATAAACTATTCAGTTTTTAAAGGATTAACTATCGACAGCAGAATTTGCTTCGAAACAGGGATTGACTAGAGACAAAATACAAGGTTGAAGACAACACAGTGAATTTATACATACTACGATGGAGACAGAGTTCAACAGGGTGAGAGTGCATTGGCAAATTACAATTACGACATAATAGACAAACATTGAAGTAAACTCAGAAATTGAATAGTCAGTGTAAAAACATCAAAGTCAACATTAAATGGAGTGTTACGCAACAGAAGAAAAGAGAAAAAAATGGCACACGAATAAAACAACTACAGTTACCAGGGTAATGAGAGATTAGTCACCCTGGCTTTCTGTATACGCACATTGAATATAAGTTATGTTGCTCACACTTTCTATCCATAAGTCGATGTCACTGTTAGAAAGGTATGTGTTCAGATCATTTTGTGTAACTTGTATTTTGATAATACCGTTTAGGATGTGTATGCATTTGAACAAGAATCCACGGAATATGGAATGAGGTCGTATTATCCTGCAAGTATACATCCATATATAGTCGTTCTTTCTTTGTTCAAACTAATAAGCGGAATTCGTTGTTTGGAATCCAGAATATTGATAGATTATCCACCGAAGAAAATTCTCTTTTCGACAATTTCACTTTCGTAGCTATACATAGCTATATGTATAAATATACATATACACATAAATCACAATAGACAGCACCAATTAGCTTTCTTGAGTCTTTCCCTATCGAGACCAACAGGAAATCATATGAAAGAAATACGAAGAGGGCCAAGGTTGCTACGAAAGTGATGCATACAAACTTAGAGTTTATAGGTGAAACTGAGAGTGAGTGAAGTCCTTAACATTCGACTGACAGGATCATTAGGTTTTTGCTGTCGCAATCTACGAATAATCTGATCTAACCGTCCACTGGTACAGCCTGAATCTTAAGCTAATATTACCTCAATTCTTCAATTTCATGTGTATTCACATGTTCACCTGCTAGGTACATAGAACGTTCGTTGAAAAACATATCCCGCCGCCTCATTCCATACCGCCTCCCAAGCCTTACTCAGAGAAGGGGAGATCGTAAAGGCATTATTTAATCTATATTGGTTATTTAGAGTAGATTATTTATTTTTTATTTTTATTTTTGATTACAGCTTGATTCCACACCGTATTTTCGGTACAAGTATGGAATTTTCAGCATGTGATATCGGTAGCCCAAATTTTGCAGGCCGACCATAGATAATATCAGGTGTGCGTCGGCGTGGTCTCGAACCCCGAACCATGTGCATGGTCGGCGAGAGTCCTAACCACTGTGCCACCGACGCACAGCATTCGATGCATTATCCATTCGTATAATCTACAAAATCCGACAAAGTTTACGCAAAATGACACGAATCCATATCTGCTGCTTTGGATAGCAAGAGCTTTGACAATTACAATAACATAAGGTCAGGACTTTGTGTACATTGTGAACAATTGTAAAGATGATTGTAAAGAGATCGTGAACAAACTACGAGATGACATCACATCTCGCGATACTCTTGTTGTTGTTAGTGCCTTAACGGGACTACCTAATACGATTATCTCGTTACTTGATGATTTTGCACAAGTCGTAAATACCTACCCTGCAATAAGAACACACCCCGAAAATACTGTATTGTGTGTAGACACACACACACACACATACACACATATTTCAGAATAAAGCTATTATTATCTTTATTAAAGCGGAGAGAAATATCTGAATATTCATCAAAAAAACAAAACAAAAATAGAGGTTAACGACAAATCACGGACGCACGCACACATACACTCGCAAACAAACATAGAACAACAAGACTAGTGATGTCCATTAAAGCAGGAAATCTGACTCACATGTCGATAAACTTCTATACAACAGGGAATGTGATCATCAGGTTTCGGGAATAGAAATTCCTCTGATGAATACTGTTGATCATTTGAAGATGACGATGATGAATTCGGATGTTGACGCTTCAATCGACGTAGTTGTATAGGATCTGGCAGAACAATAGACGATGAATTGTACTTGTATGCATGTATCAAGTGTGTTCCAGAATGCGATAAAATAGCCAGTGGAGAATCAAGTAAGGCTAATCCACATACACAATGTGGTAGAGCTACACACGAAGGTGAAGACGAAAATGACAAGAAAAGCAATTTAAAAAAAAAGAAATAATCAATTGAAGCACACTGCAGCATTGAAAAACAGATTACTAACCTGGTGACTAGGGGTATGAAGATCTTGTTGTAGTGGGACACCTTGACTTTTATTTCACTGTCGCCAGAAACATTAACTCTTCTCTGAACGCCTTTTTTTCTATACGACTGAATGGGGATTTTCAACCTTCACAATCGTCACCATCACCACCACGATCATCATCCCTAACACATGCTCTATCTCCTACCAATCAGAGACTCTCAGATGATCTGACCATTGAAAAACCGATCAAATAAGGCAGTGTATTCGCATACTGAACTAATGGAAGTGTGAATGACATTGACACTACTACTGAAAGAGATAAATATGTCCTATTCCTTAACAAGTATATCGGAGTATCCTGACCGAGAGCTGCAACCTTGAAGTGGTGGTCAGATACGACTGTACAGCTTGAAAATGAAGTTGTTGAAAAGAAATTTCTTCGCTGAACGAAAAACTATGTTTTTACTTATGACATAGTAGAAGTGCCATTCACTTCAATGAGTTTCCTTTGGAATATCAAGATAATCACATTTGCTTAGTACTAGGATGTCTGAAGGGAGTATCAAAGAAACCAATTCTAATTGCACGATTATTTCTAAAGCAAACTGTGAAGAATTTGTACACTGTCCCATTCTTCATTCCAAAATGAATCGTCAATAAATAGTGTGTCTTTGTATAACTAACCTTTAGCATTTTCATTCCACTGACGTGTTCGTGCAAGACACCAAGAAACCATACTAGAAAAAATTAAGAAACAGGCAAAACAACACAACACGGTAAGGTTGGTTAACACATTAAGCACAATAAAATGGAAGGGTTTCGCATGCCATTAAAGTAATGTAGGGGTCACTAGGTCGAGTGGCAGGAAGCTCGCTTAGCATGCCAGAGGTACTTGGATAAATGGCCAGGTAACCCACCGACTCACCTTGTCCTGTGTGTCGGTGGTTCAGTGTTAGAATACTCCTCGACCACCAATACGGTCCGGGATTCGATGATCCCCAGCCAACGTACTCCTAGGACTGGCTTAACCGGCAGTAAGCCTGGTAAAAAGTCTAAACTCCAGTTATACTTAGTTCTCCACACGCCTGATATTAAAACAGTCACCAATAACAAAATGAAAGGATCAAGGAGCATTGGACAACCATTTCTTCCTTGTTCGGGACAATGCAACAGTACAAATCCATGGGCTCACCGAGGATAAGACCTACGACCTTCAGCCCAAACAGGGCTAGCTGAATGTTTAAATCAATCAAATCCCTAAAATCTACAATTGGAATTCAATTGAGTGCTCACTGACGACTCACTACAGAATGAAGTTGACCGAAGTTCTACTTGGGGAAGTCATGACCAGAGCGTCCCACCGAGTTGTGTGAGGACAACTGCTCGCTGATGACACTGACTGGCGACTGCACCATATTTCACGAATGGTTGGAGTTCGATTTATGGACAACTAAGTTTTCTCCCAATGGTTGAGTGGTGCAGGAGATCGCCTTGTAACCAGGACGTTCCGGGTTCAACTCCTCGCGGCTACATAGATGTGTAAACTTAAGGTACACAAACGACAACAACAATTACAACGAAACAGCTGTACAACACACTCTAGTTTTCCAAAGATGCTCTAATCGCTGTCAAATCGTGATCAATCTCTAAAAGTCAGTCAAATCCCTGCAAAGAAGCAAGTGAAAAATCAGTAACGTTGATGACACCCGTAGTGTGAAGAATAGTGAACAACAATGCCGACTCATGTAGATAATTGGTAGAATCAATAAATATATGCAGCGCGAGTGATAAATGACAAACTGGAATGTCTTCCTTTCAGAGAAAAGAACATGACCACTGACTGAAAGGGTACTTCGTAGGTCTGTGTAATCTTCGAATATTATAATTCCCCTACGAAATAGTGTAGGATTGTAATGTCAGAAGACAAGGGACAGGCAATAACTCGTTTCTTGGGAAAATCAAGAGGTATTTATAGATTTTTATGTACATTAATGTCAGCGGAGAAGCAATCTCTTCTGAATCGTTGTTTTCCTGATGAAGATTATTCTGTTATCTATTTGTGGCCGTTTCTCAGAAAATCAAGCCATATATCTGCGTATCATATTTCCACATATTGCCTCAGCTTTAATTGACTGGTGATTTTATCAAGGCTAAGCTTAGTTATTGCTTTCTTCATGACTCTGATTTGGAACGTGAACATTGACGTAAATTGTTGTCTACAATTTTGGCTTGCAGCCAGCTCTCACCACAGGATCATCACTTGGTGACTGGAGAACAATGCAACCACCACCTCAATCATTCTTCCAACTCATTTGTCGAGTAGAAATTCGGCTACATCTGCAGCTTCAATACTATCAGCATTCAACGCTTCATCTTCTTTAGAAGAAGCTTTCATGTGGCAGATTCTGGTACCTACACAAGGAGTAGATTTCATCCATCCTTCGGGCTGTAATTGATGGAGTAAAATGACTTCATGGAACTTTTCTCAAAAAATAAAACAAGAGTGCCTGTACTTATACAGAGAGAGAGGATTCTTTCTATTCCTCTGAGACAAAAGAAACTGGAGTGGAATTCCCTACACTTCGACTGGTCATATTTCCCGGTTTTGCACAAACAGTATCGCTTCACAGATAGAAATCTCGATGCATTATGGGAATCCAGATTCTCTATTCTCTGTTTTGATGTTTAACTTCAATCTGCATGGTTTCATTGAAGGCGAAGTGTTCAAATAATGCGTCAAGTGATAAATTGTTGTGTACTTCTGTGGCTAACTGACTGACTGACTGACTCCACAGAACAATGAATAATCTGAGTATGGAGATGGCATAGGAAGGGATGGAATGGCATGATGATTGAAAACATAACTTATTAGTGAGCATTTGGATGAGAGTGCTTCTGGTGCTGTTGCAATAGTAATCAGACTTGCTCAGAACTGAAGGATATGATTAAACTCCCCGTCGAAAATTAATATGAATAGGTATAACACAGGATAATTCTAATCCTAACATGCTATCCACCCATTATCCAAATGATGCTTAAAAATGAGATCGCGATGAAATTTGCACCTCAGCGCACCTCGCAACGCGGTCATACTGGTGCTGTCAATAACGCAGCTTATGCAATACAACGGATGGTATGCCTTCAAAGTCACTGATGCCTTCGCACTCCACGCTCGCTATTCTTTAGATTCGACGATACCGTCTCTTGAACATCAATGAGAACATTGTTTCCTCCAGGACAACTGTGAATAAGCACGAAACGTAGATTTCATAGAGCTTCCTGAAATTTAGTGCAGACCACCAAACTATAGAATTCTATATGATTACCTAAACACACAACAAAATAGCCCAATGAATAGGTGGATAACACTTTCACATTTAAAACGCCGAAGTCAAGGGGTAGCATGAATCATTGAATAATACATCTCAGTCTTCTACCCAGTTACATTACAATTCAACTATTGGGGACAGATTACTTATGGATTGTCTTCTTGCTAAGGTTAAAGTAGATGGAACGCGAGTCGAAGCCAGGACCTACCAACTGACAGTCAAGTGACTCAATTACCTCCACTCAGTGACCTGTAATCAAATTATACAATGTGTAAACATAATGGATCTTTTCAAGTTTAATCACGAATGGAAAACATTTGGAGAACCGGTGGAAACCAGGGAACACTGGACAACCGTTTCGTCCTACACAGAGACTCATCGACAGCACGCACCCACCGGGTTTCGAATCCAACACTTTCCAGTTACTAGCAAACCAATGACACTCCACTCAGTGGACCATGACATTGGCTAGTAGTCGCGCTAGAAATCGCAAATTGATAGAAGTTACAATTCATGGACTGGCCTTTAAGTCGGGTCCGAGTGGCTGAATGATCTACGAGTTTGACTTGTTTGACTACTGAAAGGTCATGCGTTCCAGCCCTGACAGTGGGCGCGAACTGTCGACGAGTCACAAACTGGGCTGACGGAACAGCTGTCCAATACCAGAACTCCCAGCTGGTTTAGGTTTACACAATGGCTCTCTAACTGATATCAATCAATTCATCAAATCCAAGCTTCCCCCCTCCTCTACAAACCAACTCCTCATCATGGATTTTGTTTTGTTAAATTAAAAATTAAGCAAGTAAAAATAACTTACTAGTGTTCATGAACATGTGATAATAAGTGTTCATAATCCATATCGGCATTATCTTTTTCAGAAAATGTCAATTGCTTGTCACACCATGGACAAACAATCAGATTACGACTATCGTAAAAGTGAGAATCTCTTTCATGATTGTGTAAATTTATCAGATCTGTAAAGTATAGAGCAGTGAATGGAGTTGTATCACAGTTACTAGAAGATTCTTGTAGTTGATGTTGTTGTTGTTGTTGCAGTAGCTGTTGAGAACAGTCTGAACTATAATCACTGTCTGCTATTGATTCTTGATTTTGAAGTACTAGACTGATTTCGTTGTTTCGACTTTGTGTGACTGAACGAAAAAAAAAGAAACAAACAAACGAAATAGTACAACAGTACACACACCACTAACAGTTATGCAGATTTAGGTTTTTATTAAATTAACATTAACAATGATGAAATAAAATTTTTTTTAAAAACAACAACTGTGCATGCATTGCATTTCAAATAAAAGCTTTTCTTTCTCATGTAAGTATAAATCAATTAATCAGCGAATTCCTGAGTACGCAGAAGACAGACTAGACAAGTTTATTGTCTTTCATCACTATGAAACTGTCTTTAGCATCTATGATTCTACGAAGCATTTATGAGGATTTGATTAGTTGGGAAGATGACAATGCACCTGTACCGTTGACAACATTTTCAACTGACACAACGACCGACAGACAGCTATTAGTTAGCTTTTCAATCATTGGTTGGCAGGGATTTCATTGGCCATGAACTGATATCGATTAGAGAACCATTGGAAAACCAACTGAAAGTACTGCCAGACAGCTGTTTCGTCAGCCTAGTTTGCGACTCGTCGGTAGTAAACACACACCGCCAGGCCAAGGTTCAAAAACAGGACCTTTCGGTGACAAGGCGAGCTCGCAAACCATTTAGCCACTGGGACCCAACCCGACTCAATGGCCAGTCCATGAATCCCGGCTTCACGATATAGTGCAACCACTAGCCAATGTCATCGGAAAGTATTTATCTGATGCTCACTGGCGACTGGCCCGATTCAAGTAGGGGGTATCATACACAGAAACACTGGAAAATCACCTGTCCCATCCACTGAAGGAAATCTTCGAGGCTAAACTTCGTCTAACTTTCCTCCAAAAACCAATAATCCGCATGATGAGAAATCCGTTAGGTATGACACGATAAACTTACTGCGGCACTCTAACAAATAGTCCCATTAGTTTTTGTTTTCCTTTCCTCGTTACTATCACACTGTTGTTCTCATCTAGTACCACACATCAACTTTATATTTCAAATCCTGTGTTGCATTGTTTGAAATGAAATACTCTACGTTGTTTGTTTTTTTCTTAAATTTTAATATTTATTTATTTTATTTATTTATAACTAATTTATTTTATTTTTATTTATTTATCTTTGATTTTTAAAAATCTTATATAATTTATGAGGTAATTAGATGCAATATACTGTAATGCACGCTGAAAATTCCATACCTGTACCACAAATACTGTTTGGAATAAAGCTGTTATTATTATTATTATTATGAACCTGAAGGATAACCTACCACTGCTGACTGGCTTTATCAATATGTATCCATCAATTCGCCCACTTATTTCGAAATAGGCATGTCGGTCGTACTAAGTGTGTCCAATCCAAACGTATAATCAAAAACTTAACCTCATGATCGCCCCGCAGCTCTATCCTCGAACACTTGATCAAATCTGAACAGCAAGCTAACCCAGCCACCCAGGGAACTTCACAGTGATATAAGAGGATATATGTGGTAGTCTTGCCTCATGCCCAACTTTCTCCCTTACCAGTCTTAATACTGGCTTAGCGAGATAATGGAGTGCGTCGGTGGCCGGGGGTCGAATCCCGAAACACCTGCGTAGTTGGCGAGCACTCTATGACTGTGCCACCGAAGCACACTACAACCACATATATATATATATATATATATATATATATACTTGCGACTGTACACAACTTGAGAATGATATCGGTGGAAAAAGTAACTCTTCGTTGAATGTTACCCCACCCTCCTTTTTTCTATGACTCAATGAGGGGGATTTTCAAGTTGCTGCTGCTTTAACTTCAGAATGCTTAAAGCTCTCCTATCTTCCACCAGTCAGAAAAAGACAAATGAATAAAAACCAGACATGAGAGGAGGGAGGACGGAAGAAAATACTTCCTTATACATATTTACATACCTTCATCTGATTCATTTGATTCTGCAGACAACAATAATGAGTCAGATGTGATCTGTGCATGGGGATGATGCATACACAAGGAATAGGAAGTTGAAGTCAAAGTAGTAGTTGTTGTTGTTGCTGCTGCTGTTGCTGTGGTGGTTATTATCCCTGTAGACGAAGGATGAATACCACCAGTCACCGCTATATTTCTCCTTGGTCCAATACCACAGTATGCACAGAAGCATAATTTTCCATTGAATATTACTGATGCATTATTATTCCTCCTCCCATAACTGGAAGCAGACGAAGAAGAAGATGCATTATTCTCACACGATGAGTAGGCTCTGACAGACTGTTGTTGTTGTGGTTGTGCTTGTTGTGTTGTCGTTGTCGTTGTTGGTTGTCATCTGTATGCTCTGGGTCCAATACATTAAGTATATCCTCATTTCTATGATAATTATTGTCATTATTATTATTACCATCACTATAAGTATATGAATATCCAAATGTTGACTGAAAAATTGTTTGTGCATGCTGACAAACTGATAAATGTTTTCGAAAAATATCAATATTGGGAAAAAGACGTTTACACGAACCAAAACATCGATAATAGTTTTCATGAATACAAGTTGATAGATGTTCAGCCTAGATTATTGAGAAGGAAGAAGAAAAGAAAATAGCGGGGATGGGGGGAGAGAAACCAGAAGTTATAAATAGTGTTCACTCATACATTAACTAATACAATAATCAGCTTCAAGAGGCATAAAGTCGATTCGGGTGTGAACTCAATGAATGAATGAATGAATGAATTTACACACTTTTTGTAGATTATACCTCAAAACAAAATATGGCATACAAACCTTTTATAGTTTGGATTTATTGCACATACTGATTTCTGTTATGATCCCCATATCATCACCACCAGTTGAAATGAGCCCGTCGGGATTCTCCTCTACATACATTCATACATACATACACCTGTCGCCAATCGATATGAGTGAGTAAGACTTATACATGGGTAGGATAGTCCTGGCGGAACGGACAACTCAAATGATACATATACTACTAAATACGCCTATTCGTCTGTGCTACTACCTTCGCTTCACTGAGCCAGGTAAATATCAAAAGGTAAAGACTGGTCTGTGAATGGTAGAGGATACAATTTTCTATTAGGGAAAAAGGCACGTTATATTTATGTATATATTTAACCATATTAAAATCTGCCATGGGGAACTGGAAATACACTGTTCTAATTGGTAGGCGATTTGACTAGGGCTGTAAAAAATAAGCATTCTGATTGGTCGACTATTGAATTACAGTGTCAAGGTAAGAAAAAAAGGATGATAACAGTTTACAGTTATCCTATCTCACACGATAAATAATCATAAGTTTGATCACTACTTTGAGCCGATTCCTATCAATTTCTTTATTAGCCTCCCTTTAAAGTTTCGCGTAGCACCCCATCCACCCTTTTACTGTCTCCCTCTTCACTAATCTCAGGTGACTGTCATCCACGGATTTTGACAAGAAGCGAATTGACGTTTATATCCATGTATATGTGGATGGCAACCGCCCAAGAATCCTTGCCATAGAGTCATAGTGTGTGTCGTCACTAGTCTCACTAAAGAATTTTAAATGAAATGTACAAAACAACAATTCATTTATAAGTCTGTACTGTAACCAGAAGATCCTGGGTTCGACCCCTGGCGGTGGGTGCGTACTGATGAACAGTCCTGAACTAGGCTGACTAAAAACAACTGTCCAGTACTCCCAGCTCGTTTTCCAATGGTTCTCTAACCGATGTCAGCTTATGATGAAGTCCCCCAACCAATTAAACAAAAAAACCTGCAAACCAATACTTGAAAATTGTTCTGTTATATATATGTATACTTCAATAATCAACTGTCCCACAATCATTGATTTTCGCTTAATAACTGAAAGACTACATTCATGTAGACTGTAGCTAACTGTGCTGCTCAATATCCAAAATGGCTTTATTGCGTATCCCTTCTATAATTGTAGCGTCATCACCTCACCTGGACATCATTGTTTCAACCCAGAGGTACTATAAATGATGATAACAAACAAAGTCAGGGTTATACATTGGGAGAAAGCAAGACAGTCGATCACTACTCTGAAATCACTGTGCATATTTAAAGTAATCAGGAAACAAATCCCACTTTTATAACACTAGTGTGTCAGGTCTATGCGTCTCCGCATACTTCAGGGAATTAGCACACGCGCGTTATCAAAACCAATTCTATCAAATAGGCTGCAGACACTTTCGTCAATACATGTCTTCTCCTTTGGGTTAGATAGACAGACAAACTGGACAAGTACTGGCCAGAAAGAATAAACAACAAGGAACTCTGATATGCACAAGACCAGTCAAGAATTTATTACGTAACAATTATGTGTAAACATATATATATACTGCATATAATGAAATGAAACGATAACCAACACGCACACACACACACAGAGACACGTTGCAATATAAAAGTATTCACCACTTACACTGAAGTGTCGGAAATACTCCTCTCTTGTATTGAGAACTCTCAAACACTCTATGCACTGATATCTTGTAGAGTAATCTGCATTCTCACTCATTTCACTGGCATTATAATTACCATTTCTGCGGACCACTGGTAGTCCATTGATGTTTACAAATGAGGGCGGCAATAACACCGTCTGAGATTCACTTAAAAATCCAGAAATAGGATGAACAGTAGAAGTCGAAGAATTCATAGCACCAGGCGGCGTATTAGCCCCATGAATAACTCTCATATGATTTGTTAATTCTTCAAATGAAGATGTTTCAAAAAGGGTTAGTCCTTCTATCCCTGGAAGTGAAATTTCGGCATTTTATGCGAACAACAAGAAAAAGTAACAATGAGTTCAGACGGCATAAGTTTAACACGAATATAAAAATATTACGAAATGAAAACGAGGGAAAGTACAGAGGTAGATCATTTGAACCAAGTCTAAATAATTTTGAAAAAAAAACTACCAAGTGTTAGCTTGCAGGAATTGGATTGGTTGTTACAGGATTGATCACGAGCAGGTTGATATTAGTTAGAGAACCGATGAAAAACCAGCTAGAAGTACTGCCAAACAGCTGTTTCGTCAACCTAGTTTGCGTCTCTTCATCAGTACACACGCACCCACCGGGGTCTACAAGTTCACCTCGCAGCCGGAGGTTGCTGGCTCTGAGCCCCGGTGCATATTGATGAAGACTCACAAACTAGGATGAAACAGTTGTGCAGTACTTCCAAGTTTTCCAATGGTCCTCTAACTGCTCTCAGTCAGCTCGTGATCAACCCTGTAATTTTGAAAACATCAAAGTCGATATTTGGAGAGGAGAGATTATAATTATTACACACACTTAACAAGAAATACTAGATGGTTAATGTCTATAAAAATCAAAGTGCAGTGTATATGTAACAACCTGAACTAGAAGTAAAGTGATAACTAGCACTGTGGTGCATCTGTCTGGGGTAATAGTAATCTGTTGGGGTTACGATATGAGACAACTGCACTACTCATGTCGTGTAGTGTTGAATACATTCTCACTTAGACTGCATGCTACCTTCTTTTAACACCCTGGCTGACAATAAATGAATTGATGCCTTCGTTTAAGCAACGAGGCTACCACGATGTTGGACTGACTGTCACACACTCCTTGTCTCAAACGCTTTCTTGCGCATAGTTCTAACACACCCAAGCCAGTAAAGTCTAGCCACTGTGAACTGGGAATATCTGCCGACCAGCTATACTTGACCACCATGAGGATACAGAGATAACTTCATGTATGTTATTTCTAACTTCAACTGCTGATGTATAAAAACCTCCACGGTGAACGCCAGTGGAGATCATGGGAATAAGTATGACTCAATACAAATTTCTGGGAAACAGCCACCACCATCAACACCCGATCAATTTATTCTAACTATGGTGCTATCGCAATAAGGTTAAACCGAGCAATCATTTCAATCTAGCTTATATTCAATCGAAACATCAGTCAGTGCAAGACAATAAGTTGACTGAAAAGGCAATCTATAAACTATTGCAAAACTATCACACATCACTGTTGAAACTCAACTGCCCTAATGAAGTCTGTCATGTTACAAGTTATGAATCATACACGATTATTGTGTGTGGGAGGGCGGTTAATGATATATTACTGCTCAACCAGTTGCTAGGTTGAAGTGGAACAGCAGAGCACAACACTGGTTGGCAACGGAATGTACATTTGCAACTCGGTATGCACATATATGGGGGAATTATATACACCTTGTATGAAATCCATCATTTGCACAGACCTTCCGTGCTGTGCTACTTCTGCCCACCCCCGCCCCCACTTTGTATTATGTCCCCTTGTCTTCTTTTCGTGTCTTCCATGTTTTCTCACAATATACTGGTTCATTTGCTCGCTTTGACGTCAAATCCATCTCGCTACTATTTGATATTTTTGTGCTGATGAATGTCCCGGCATACACTACTGACGAATCTTGTCAGTAGCACACTCCACAGAAAGTAGCTGTAGTGGAATACGAGCCCGCAACTTACTGCCTGAAAGTTGAGTGAATAATCACAATGTTAAACTACCTCAGAGATTGGAAAAAGTCGTCTGCTATTTAATTACGGTGTGCCTAGATTAAAAACATCGGTGACGACTTAGTCATAGAATACTCTGTCTGTCTGTCTGTCCGTCTCTCTCTCTCTCTCTCTACAGCTACGCTATAAGTCCGGGTTCGACTCCCAGCTGGTGGTGTACGCCTTAATCTGGCCTAGCCAATAGTAACCCCGAAAAAGAGGCAAGGTTAAGCGTGAGGCTAGCTGACCACCCACCTCCCACGTCTCAAAAGACACACACACACACCAGTAATAGGTTAAATCCCTATACGCTCAACTCGGAGTATACAAAGGAAGGCAACATAGAAAACATAGATTAGTAGTAACACATTATTCATTGAAAGACACGTATTTAGAGATCAGATCTCACTATAAAGCGACAAAAACACCAAGTGAGATAACTTACATGAATTCAACATATTGCGATCCAGACCAGAAGAATTTTGAAGAGAAGAAGGTGTTGAATATTGTTGTTGTTGCTGCAGCAGCAGTGGCGGCGGCATATTTTCCTTATTCCTCCCATGTATACCCACATGGTGTCTTGTATTACTAATCTCAGCAACGAAACTTGTACTCCGCTGCTGCTGACTATTATTAATACTTACACCAACAATAGATTGTAATTGTTGTTGGTGTTGTATACAAAGTGTACATGAATAAATTCGCTTTGTATGACATTCAAAATAATGTTGGCACAAATTTTCAAACGCCTTGTAGACTTTCTTATAACCCATTTCATGGCAATAGCGACATTCAAAAATTTCTCTCAAATTAAAATGATGACAAACAAAGCGAAGATGTATACGTAGGCACAATTCGTAACAGTCAGGCGATAAATATGCTGGAGGCTTGAGGAAAAACGAGAGATTTAAAAAAAGAGGAGAAATTAATACGCGGAAAATGTTT